GCGGCAGGCTGTGCATATCCTCTCAAGATAGGCCCTGGAGTCATGGTACCTCGATAACAGCTCGTGTCGGTACCGCTCGATGAAGTGACATCCGAGCTCGGATGCTAAGAAAGAAGTCAATCCCTCGGCCCGGGCGTGGGCGATGCGCTCATCCACTGACGAGCGTAGCTCCTCGAGCTCGGCATCCCTGGCCTTGAGCTGGGCGTCCTTGTCTTCGATTTCGGCCTCTTTGGCCTTGAGCTCAGTGTCCTTGGCCTTGAGTTTGCCTCGGAGCTTTTCCTTCTCGGCTTTTTGAAGGTCGAGAGTCTTTTGAAGCTTGGAGAATTTCTCTTCACCCTTTTTCACCTCTTCCTCGAGGGACTCCATCTCGGCGTCATCGCCCTCTAGCTGCTCCTCAAGGAGGGGCGCCATGCCCGCCAGAGCCTAGTTGGAAAAGAGGATGGGTTATATATAAATTTCACAACATGTGCTTATTGAATAGGAGATGAAGGTAATGAGTACGTACCAATCCGAGGTGATGAGTGATAGCGGCGGCTCGGTCTACCTTGGTGGGCCATCTCGTGGTCTCGCCCCGCGGGAAGATGTCAACGAGGTAGGAGCTGGTCACTGAGACGTCCTTGTTCCCGGCGACCGTGTTCGGTCATTTCAAGGGTGCTTCGGGTCCCTCTGCAGATCTAAGCCTCTTGCGTTTGGCCGAGAAGGTCTTCCCCGGGCGATCGCGGGGGTAGGTGCGCGGAGGAGAGCGCAAAGGAGTATTGCCCTTGGGGGGATCGGCCACTGGTGTGGTTTGCCCCTTAGGGGGAGTCGGGACCTTCTCTGAGGGCCCAGTGGGAGCTGTGGTCACAGTCGTGTGGGGCGCGGCCACGGTCTTGAGGAGCTCCTCTGCAAGACAAACAAAAGATAGATATATAAGTAAACAAGTTATATGCATATGATTAACGTGAAAAAGAAAGTAAGGGGTACGATAGCGGCGCGGGATGCCCGACCCTACCTATGTTATCTACGGGGTCGGTGGCATGTCTGGATAGCACGAAATGCCCTAGGAGCCGGTCGCTAGTGGTCAGCTTCATCATGAGAAGGGGGCGCTCATTCCACTGATCAATGAGGGCCTCGTATGTGGCGTTTCTCTTCGGGTTCTTGTCCTGCTTTGGGGTCATGGGCGGAAATTCGAAGGTATTAGGAGGGGGACGCACGAAGAAGAATTTATTTTTCCAATTGTGTGACTTCGATTGGGGTTGGTCTATGAAGCGGGTACGGGTGCGGCGCATGAGGTACGGGGCGTTTTTCGGGTTTCTAAGGCAAATGAGGGTAAATTGACAAGCACGAATGAGAGGAACAAATGACAAAAAATGCAAGTGCAATATAGTAAGACAAATGTGCAATGAGGTGGTACACTACGAAAGTAATTGTCATAAGTTAAGCAAAGTAATTGAGGTATATCGCAAGAGTGAGTCGAGGAGAGCGTACCCATGAAGGACGCCGATGCCGCCATAGTGAGTGGTGGTAAGTGTGTGGTCGTCAGGTCCGCGTGAGGTCCGCACGCTCGGCAGTGTGGGCTCGGTGTGTCCTCGGCGAGAGCCCGGCGGAAAGATGGCGCGTGCGTGGAGTGCTCGGCGGGCGTGGGGACTAGGCGCGTGGACGTCGGGCCGATGAGAGCTCAGCGACGAAAGAACACAAGACCGTCGGGGGTATGTGCACGTTGGAACGAAATACGTCGGATTTCAACTAAGGATGGAGTGTTCTCTTTTTTAGAGAGAGAAATTATGTAGTAGAGGAATTTTTGTGAAATAGAAAGTGATGAATGGAGGAAGGGAGGATGTGTATTTATAGTTGGAGAGATGGAGTTAAGGTTGGTGTGTCTTGATTA